GCAGGCACGCACATCGCTGGCTACTATTGAGAAGCAATGTAGCAAAAAGGCCAAGTGTATGGGCTTTGGAGTAGACTGTTCAGGATCAAATTCTGCAGACGGTATGATCTTTAGCAAGGCACTCAAGAGATAACAAAAGCACCTCCCTCCTAGGATGATGCAAGTTTCTGTGCGCAGAGTGCGTAGAGCAAGTGAGTCAGCTTACTCGAGAATTACACAGAATGTCTACGGGGCTATCTCTGCATCGTAGGAACGGGGGCAATTTTATTTACTTTTCTGTATTGTCCAAATGTATATAATGGACGTATTGACTTGTTTAATTGGGGGGAAACGGGGAGAAAAGGACAAGGGACATTCCAAAAACAGCTGATCTAGACTCTTCAAAAACACCAAGGTCTTGAAAAACAAAGAAGAGCTGAGGATGGTTCTTGCTTAAAGGAGACTGAGGAGGCCAGACATGGTGGCTCGCACCTATAATCCCAGCACTTTGGGAGGCCAAGGCGGGCAAATCACCTGAGGTTGGGAGTTCAAGACCAACCTGATCAATATGGAGAAATGCTCTCTCTACTAAAAATACAAAATTAGCTGGACATGGTGGCAGGCGCCTGTAATCCCAGCTACCAGGGAGGCTGAGGCAAGAGAATTGCTTGAACCCAGGAGGCAGAGGCTGTGGTGAGCTGACATCACGCCATTGCCCTCCATCCTGGGCAGCAAGAGCAAAACTTTGTCTCAAAAAAAAAAAGATTGAGGAGACCCGACACCAGATGTGAAGCAAGGTCCCAGCAAATTGGGATAATCAGGGACATTTGAAAAGTGGACTGTACAGTAAATAATAGCATTGCATCACTGTCACCAGGCCTGAATTTGGTAACTGTATTGTGGTTGTGTAAGAAATGTCAGTTTCCTTAGGAGACACATGTTGAAATATTTAAGGGTAAAGGGACTTATGTAACTTACTCTCTAATGGTTCAGAAAATGTGTGTGTGTGTGTGTGTGTGTGTGTGTGTGTGTGTGGTGAGAGAGAGAGAGAGAGAGAGAGGGAGTAAACATATTACAAAGTATTAATTGTCAATGAATCAAAATAAAGGGTATGTGGGTGTTGTTTGTACTTTTCTTGCAAGTTTTCTGAAGCTGTCATCATTGTCAAAAAGAGAAGTGAAAAAGTGGCTGGCCAAGGTGGCTCATGCCTTTAATCCCAACATGTTGGGAGGCCAAAGCAGGCGGATCCCCTGAGATCTGGAGTTTAAGACCAGTCTGGCCAACATGGTGAAACCCCGTCTCTATAATATAAAATATTTTTATAAAATATAATTTTTATAAAATATAAAAATTAGCCAGGCATGGTGGTGGGTGCCTGTTAATCCCAGCTACTCGGGAGGCTGAGGCAGGAGAATTGATTGAACCTGGGGGATGGAGGTTGCAGTGAGCTGAGATCGCACCACTGCACTCCAGCCTGGGAAACAGAGAGAGACTCCATCTCAAAAAAAGAAAAACAAAAAACAAAAGGCCTGTACCCAGCTTTCCTTCCTTAGGTACCACGTGGCCAGGTCCAGTGTTGGGTCCGCCACTCCATGACCTGGCAGTCCCAGCTACAGTAGAATCTGTGCATTATAGTACTCATAATAACCCCAACAGTGCTCATAATAACCCCAAGTGTACTCTTCACTATCCAGCGGTGAACAAGAGTGAAGAAGCTTCGGCTCCAGCAACTGCATGAGACTCAGCCGGACACGGCAGCGTGAGTCCATTTACCTTAATAACAACAAATCCAGACAAAATGTGCACAGACTGTTTGGGGCAGTGTACAGGGTAGTAAATCCCAGAGAAAGACGAGGAAGTGATTACCATAAAACTCAGAACTGTGCTGACCTGGGGGAGACCTGGAAGGGCACATTTGGGGGCTCTGCAGGTTGTTAATGAGGACTCATTGTAAATTCTGTGAATATACATTATATGCTGTGAATATACATTATACAGTGATTTTTTGTTTGTTTTTGAGACGGAGTCCTGCTCTTGTTGCCCAGGCTGGAGTGCAATGGCGCAATCTCGGCTCACCGCAACCTCCCCCTCCCGGGTTCAAGCGATTCTCCTGGCTCAGTCTTCCCAGTAGCTGGGGTTAGAGGCATGCGCCGCTAGGCCTGGCTAATTTTTTTTTTAGTTTTAGAGACGGGGTTTCACTGTGTTGGCCAGACTGATCTCGAACTCCCGACCTCGTGATCCGCCCGCCTTGGCTTTCCAAAGTGCTGGGATTACAAGCGTGAGCCATGGCGCCCGGTTTATAGTGATGTTTTATGCACACCACAGCGGTAAGAGTCCCAGTAGGGCCACTTTGAGGGAGGCAGTGTGTGCCTGGCACCCACAACTGTGCGGAGGGCGCTAGCACCCGGGCTGTGCCCTCTGCCCAGGACAGTATCCCGGCCTGGCGCGGTCCTAGACGGCTGCGGTTCCAGACCGCCCGGGGAAGGCGGACCCCAGGGGCTGCTCCCCAGGGCCTTGGGGGAAGCGGCGGTGGGGAGGGTGCCCGGGGCGCCCCCTGGTGGTGGCCACCAGGAGTAAGCCTTGCAGAAGAACAAGCTGTCCCGCCCGTCCCGTGCCTCCATCCCCTTTCTGCCTCTTTGCCCCTGGCATTCCTTCCTTTTCCAGGGCTCACGTCCTGTTTCTCCGCTTCACTTCAGCAAACGCCGACCTCACACTCGCCTCTCCCAGGAAGGCTTTCCTCCTCCCCGCCTAGGCCCTCTCTCTCTGAGGTTGGCTTTCAGTCAATCTGCACAACCTCTCGGGGCCTCTGTCAGCGTCGCGGTTCACACGCGCGTGATGTGGACGGTGCGGCGAAGGTGATGCTGCCGAGGCCTCCCGCGGCCGGCTCTGCTGACGCCCCACTGTGTCTACGCTCCCTCCCTAAGCAACTTGGCTCAGGCACGTGGCCAGTCCTTCTGCATGCATTTCTTTTTTTTTTTTTTTTTTTGAGACGGAGTTTCGCTCTTGTTACCCAGGCTGGAGTGCAATGGCGCGATCTCGGCTCACCGCAACCTCCGCCTCCTGGGTTCAGGCAATTCTCCTGCCTCAGCCTCCTGAGTAGCTGGGATTACAGGCACGCGCCACCATGCCCAGCTAATTTTTTTGTATTTTTAGTAGAGACGGGGTTTCACCATGTTGACCAGGATGGTCTCGATCTCTTGACCTCTTGATCCACCCGCCTCGACCTCCCAAAGTGCTGGGATTACAGGCGTGAGCCACCGCGCCCGGCTCCTGCATGCATTTCTTAAGCGCCTCCTTGGAGTCTCTGAGGCTGCAGGAAAAAAGTCAGTGGCAGCCACTCCTGGGGGCTCTCATGCTGGTGGGGGAAGTAGTTCGATGTAGGTGATGGGGCATGATGGAGGCACTAACATCGCAGCCACAGAGCGTCTGGGAACCAGTGAGTGAGGTAATGTGGGGGAGGTGCCCAGGCAGGTGTCCTGGACGGAGTGACCCTTGGGCAGGTCTTGAGGAGTTTTGAGAGGGGCTGGAGGTGAGGCTCAGGCCAGGGGAATGTGCACGGGCCAGGGTCTGCTGGGAAAAGGACACAGGGCAGTGGGGTCCAGGAGCCAGGTGGAGGGTGCTGGGTCTGTCCCGCTCCTGCGTTGGAACATGGTCTCCAGTAGCCCTCACAGGCCTTTGTGGGATCACAGTGCTCTGCAGAGGCAGCTGCAGGAGGACCCCAGGACAGGGTGGCTGCTGCCTGAAAACCCCTTTTCACCCTAAGCCAGTGCTCTGGGTCTGAGGCCTGACAGCCCCAAGGGGGTTAGAGTCCAGGGCCCCACCATCCAGCCCATGTATCCCGAACACCTACTCTGCTGGCAAGTGGGGGAAGCAGGCCAGGGAGGATGAGTAAGTCATGGACCTTGCCCTCAAGGAGTCTAAGGATTAGATAAGCACGCCCGGCTCCTGAACTCTGCAGGGAATGAGATAAGGGTGGCAAGAGAGGCCCACAAAGCCAGTGTGGGCAGAGAGGGGAGCAGCCTGCGGAGTCATGGGACGGCCTGCGGGGTGAAGTTGCTGAACTGGGCCACAGCAGGGGCTGATGGGAGCCCAGGGATTCAGAGCAGCTGGGGGGGAGACAGAGCTGCCCGTGGGAAGGGACGAGAGACAGTGTCTTAGGGGCCAGATGTTGGTTGCATAAAGTCCCCAGAAGGAGAAGGTCCAACTTGCTCTGTGACTTCAACAAATTTGCACTCTCTCTGAGCCTGGTCCTCCCCTCCCAAACAGGTTCATGATGGACTCCAGGGGGACTAGGTCCTGGATGTGCTTGCCTGGCAGACAGAAAGGGCTCATCAGCCAACGCCTGTTATTAAGCAATTTGAAATGTATTCCTAGGTCTGTTTCCCATTTTACAAATTTTATTTCTTGGTACTGGAAACCTTTTTATTCAAATGAAAAATTCTGACAAGTCACAGTGACTCACGTTGGTAATCCCAGCAGTTTAGGGGCTGAGACAGGAGGACTGTTTGAGGTTAGGAGTTCGAGACCAGCCTGGGCAACATGGTGAAACCCCATCTCTACAAAAAATACAAAAATTAACCAAGCATGGTGGCACAGGTCTGTAGTTTCACCTACTTGGGAGGCTGAGATGGGAGGATTGTGTGAACCCTAAGAGGTAGAGGCTGCAGTGAGCTGTGATTGTACCACTGCACTCCAGCCTGGGTGACAGAACGACCAAGACTCTGTCTCAAAAAAAAAAAAAAAAAAAAAAAA